AACACCTATTCTGAGTGTCCTTTTGGTTTGCTGAAATGAACATTTTTGCCTCAATTTCAGTGGAATGCCTGGGAAAGTATTTGAAATGGAACGGTCTCCCCTTTCCCCCAGCTCCTGTTCTCTGACGTTGCTTCAATACCCTTCTCTCTTCTCTTCCTCTCCCTCCCCACCAAGCTGAGATTGGAGTTTGGTTGAAGATGGCTAAGAGTGCTGGAGAGTGGAGGGGTGGGAAAAAAAAAAAGGCAGCCTTAACATGGCCAGGTAGGGTGCGAATAGAAATATACTGAAATACTAATGGTCTTTAATAAAAAGTATGGAAACCCATTCTTAAAAAGGGGCACGAAAAAAAAAAAAAAAAAAACTGTTCTAAAGCATTTATCTTGGACTCAACTGGCCCTTTTTAAGTGTCAAATGGAGGGTGGGGGGGAGGGGGAAACATCAACCCTTCACCTTTAACAAGCTGCTGGTAACAACTCAGAGTTGAAAGGGAAAAAACCCATCGTACTGTGAATCCAAATCTTCGGTGAATGAGAATGAATATTGCTTCTGCCGACGTGCCTGCCGAGCTCACAGTTAATGATTCTCGCTGTGTGCAGGCACCCTGAGCAGTCAGCACTCTGAAGTAGACAGTAAAAAGTTTTTAAGCAGCTGTACTTCATGGCATGTGCACATTTTCGGCCTTCGCTCTGTAAAACGTTAAGAATTCTCCTTTGGCCCATCTGTCAAAGTTGTAGCTCACCAGTTCCAAAACCCTGAATAACCCAAAGTGCTTCAGTTTGTGGAAATAGTTACTTCTGCTCTCTCTGAAGGCAAAAGGCTAGATGTTATCCTCAGAACACAGGTTGTAAGAAACCCACTCCCTGGTGTCTCTTCCACTCTCCCCAGCTTCCCAGGTGATCAGAAAGGCTTTTCTGGCCTGCTTGTTTTGCCATCCGGCACCGACTTGCAAATGACGCTGTTTGTGTTTTTACACCTGCATCCCGGCCGACTCACTTGATCGTAGCATCTCTGGGAGAGTTTCACGCAGCCTGTTGCTGGCAGGTAGCAGAGCAAGCAGGGCAGGACCAGAGAGAGGGCACTCATGAAAGACCAGCGGGCACAGCAGTTCGAGTGGGAGCAGGAGCAAGGGTGGTCTGCACAGGTGCCCTCGTCATCCTCGTTGGTGCAGTGGTAGAAGACACCCTTCACCAGACACATGCACGTGGAATAATTGACCAGGTTCTGTGCGGAGCAGAGGCATTCCTGGTTACACACCCAGCAAGAAGGCAGAGTCCTGGGTAGGGCACACTCCTTGCACTTGCATTTCCCACAGGCTTCGCACAGTAAAAAGTGCTTGTCAAGTTCCTGAGACATGGGTCCCTTCAGATCCAAGGGTTTGCAGTTGATCACCTTGGGCTGTATCCGGACTGCTCTCGGAGAAGACTGGTCTGCCACAGGAGCTGGCGCCATGTGATCCAAGAGCCTCTGGTCTGAAGATGTGCTGCTGCTGCTACTGATGGAGCTGGGCCGTCCACTGAAAGAGATCCAGGGGTGGGTGACATCCTGCTCGCACCTCTGCAGGTGCTGGCTGATCAGCGTGGGTTCATGGGGCCCTCGGGGGCGCTTCTGCGTGGCCAGCTGGGCGAGGGTGGGATTGTCAGTGTAGTCGTTCTCAATGCGAATCGTCTTCATTTGGTCAATTGGTAGGATGGTGAGCGGGTGCTGCAGCCTCCCATAGGGGATCCGACCATCTAGCAGTGGCTGGACCATGACAGAGTTGGGAACCACCGTGATGTTGTGGGGAATCCGGGGCTCCATTGGTCAGACTGGTCTTTGCTAGTAGGGAAAATTGCTCTTACGTGTCCTGAAAGAGAGAAGGAAGAAAAGGGGCATGTCCCCAAATTAACTGGGTGCTTGCAGTCACTCATTGCCAAAGCTGCCAGTGCATGGAAGGGTTTATAGCCCTAAGTGTGGGGCAAGGGGAGATAAAGCACTTGCTCTTGTATAAAAGGCCAGATGCTCACAGTGTCCTCTAGCACTGTTCTACTCTCCCTAATCCTGGCCCAGCTCTTCCCAACTGCGGCTAGCCTTGCCAAGCTGTACTAGCCTTCCTCCCTCAGAGATAGTTGGGCTGGGAGGAAAAGCAGTGGATTCAAGCAGTGCCGACTTGAATTACCCGTCTGTGTTCAATTAGGCTTCGTCTAGTAAATAAGCTACTCCAAAAAGTTACTGACCTATTTTTCTCACCAGTCCTGACTCCAAATGTGAGCAATTGCTAGGAGAGCCACAGCTTCAACTGGCAAACAGCTGGTCCCCAAGAGTTTGGGATGTGCTGGGTTACCAGGCTCCCTGAGCACAAACTCAGAGCAGCAGTGTTTGGCCCCGGTGGAGTCAGTATGGGGCATTCAGGCTGTTCCACAGATCTGAGCACATCTGCCCTTTGCAATTGTCTTTAAAGGGTAGATTGTACCTAGCATCTGTTAGGTGCACCCTTGCTGTCATGGCAGTCCTTTGCCTGCTAATCTCTCTCCCTGTGAATGGCTTGTGGGCAGGGCAGAGGTCCAAGCCAGCTAATGACAGCAGCAGAATTATTTCCCGCAGGAGAGTTGCAATAGCTTCTTAGACGACAACGTTGCAGAACGCAGATGTTGCCAAGTTCTGCCTCTACCCAACCACACCCCAAAATCCAAGGCCCAGCCATTTGTAGTTCACATAGCATGGCTCCCACAGATCTGAAGGACAGTGCCATTGTGAAAAGTCATCAGGAACGACGCTGCCAAACCAGCAGATATCAGGGTGGGAAAAAATTTTCAATTAGCAATAACTGTGCCTTGGATCAACCTAATTGGCTAAGATACTGCTGCTATGCAAAGGGTGGGGAATAGGTCATGGAGACCCTACCAAAGGGAAAGTTTAAGATGCCAGAGAGGCTTTTACCCTTTATGCCTTAGATTTTGCCAGGCAGCTTTTGGGCAAGCAGCAGCAGGTCGTACTCTGAATCCTTAGATGGTTTCAGGTTCCTGGCCTTTTGGGACAGCTCACTATTCTTCTGCCTCCCTCCTCACGCACTTTCCACAGAAAATCTCTAGTGCTTAATTCTCCACAAATGCCACCTGCAGTTCTAGGTACATTAACCTCCCTTCTTCCCATGCACACCTGAACCCACCCAGCTCCACTGTTCCCTTGATGAGATGGATGACGTGAGTTTGGAGCAGACAAGTGGAAAAGGAAGCATCTGACCAGTTTACAGGAGATACCTGGGCTCCAGAATCCAAAGTCCCCAGATGTCATCTTATATAGTCTGAGCCAAACCTCCCTCCTTTAGACAGATACTGTGTTAGAGGCAGTATCTTCTTTGAGGGAAAAGAAGACCTTTAAACAGGCAAAGGATGTTTCAGCCACAGTCGCCGCATTTCATAGTTTCATAGTTTCTAGGGTTGGAAGGGACCTGAGCAGATCAGACTCTGACCCCCTGCCGTGGCAGGAAAGAGTATTGGGGTCAAACGACCCCAGCAAGGTGATTGTCTAGCCTTGCCTTAAAGACCCCCAGGGTAGGAGTGAGCACCACTTCTCTTGGAAGTTGGTTCCAGATCCTAGCCGCCCTGACAGGGAAGTAGCGCCTCCTGATGTCTAGCCTGAATCTACCCTAATCACCAATTGCAGCATAGACAGAACTGCCTGGTTCAGATACTGGTAGTGGTCTAGTGTGGAAATGCACAGCTCCGTGCAAGTAAATTACCTAGCTTGTAAGGCAGGTTTTGCAGCCTTTTGTAGTTACGCTGCTACTGGTACCTGTGCTAACTGTTAATGGAGAACTAGCTTGGGTATGCCTTTGCTATACCAGCCATACCCTACAACTGCAACAACCATTTCACGGATGCAAAGTACAGGTAGATCATGCCTACAGGTAAAGCTTGCTGCAGCGAGACACTGAAAATGTGATCAGACATCACGTCACCCAAGTAACCAAGCAATCTTCAAACACCATGAATGATATTTAGTACAAATGCTGTTTACTAGTGAGGCCAGCTAAGCCCTCTATTGCTACAGTTTCTAATTTCATTGAAAGAGTGCAATTCATACTGGAGTCGGGCCAAAGACTCAACTGTAGCGTAGGACAGGAAACCACAGGAAGTAACTAAACTTAAATCAAAGAACGGAAACTGCGCGGTTCAAATTTAGAAAGTGCACATTGTTTTCTAGAAGATGTGCCATTTCCTCCTTGAGTGACCTTTATATTAGTTATTAATTATATTTGAGATCAGTTAAAAGCAGCAAGTAAAACTTGAGAGGGAGTGGAAAGAGAGGGGGGCCTTCTGAAGTCCAGAAAGAAAGCAGTGAGCTGTATAAGCCCTCCCTTTTTTAAGAAGAAAAGATTTGCTTAGAAAAGTGTGAAAAGGTTATTTGGCCTTTACTGCAAAAGGTCAGGGGGAGAGGATAGAAGTCAGTAGAAGTTGTGCATATGGAAAGTACATTAAACTAAGCTATCAGAACCATGCAAAACACCATCCTAGAAGTAAAACTACTATGTGAAGTATTCACACTATCAGCAATTACCAAACTATTTCCCATTAATTAAAACATTCACTGATTTTAATACTAATGAATACACAGGCAGCAGCTGTGTAGGAGAAACTTTTTAAAGCTATAGTTATCCATCTTAAAGAGATGACGAAGCTCTGTTGTAACAATCAGTCATTTTCTTGACCGAGAACTTGAACTTGGATTCTGAAGCACTGAACACTCAAACCTATCCTGAAATCAGAGGAAGAAGGTGCTGCTCTAAGAACTTCAAAAAAGGTGCTCAGCATCTTGCAGGATAGGGCTTTTGCGGTGAAACTGGACTCCAGAACACCAATTAGTGTTAGAATAGTACATGCCTTTTCTGAAGTGTTGGTTGTAGCCGTGTTGGTTTAAGGACATAGGCAGACAAGGTTCTCCAGGGCTAAGTACAGACGATCAAAAAGCCCAAGGCTTAATTGACTCAGTCTTTGCAGGTTAGTCTAAACTGCAAAGACTGAACTAAAAAGCAAATGAACAGACAGTTGCTTTGGATTCAGGAAATGCAGCTACATGCCTGCAGTGGCTCAAGCCAAAAGCTGGGGGGGTGCTAGAGGCTGGCTCCTCTGGCACATAGCCAGCATGGGCAATGTGTTCGCTTCCTCTTTCTGCTACCCCTCACGTTTCTGGGATTTGCAGTCCAGACTCGCAACAAACAGGACTCTGCAGGGTTGCTCATCGCTTCCTCTTCCAGCTTCAAGGTGTCTCTGGGATTTGTAATCCACAGTCACAGCCAGCACTAAGTAGGCAGGGCAGGTGGCTCCATACTCAGGGGAAGAGAAGTTTAACTCCCCTCCTTGGTCCTAGAGCCCAGCAGGGGTTTGCCTGGGGAGTCCAGTGAGCAGCCCTCACTGCTCCAGCTAGGCAGAGGGCAGGGCCAGCCCTGCTTTCTGGATCAGATAGCACTCACTCACATTCACAGAAGTTTAGGGCTGGAAGGGACCTCACAGCTCAGGCTAGGGCTGCAAAGCATACTGGGAGACTCAGATTTAAACTTGAACTGGACGGCGTCTGGAACCCAAGTTTCATAAACTGGTTTGACCTAAATCAGTTAAGTCTGATACTACATTGAACCAGGTTTATCTTAAGCCAGTTTCAAAATGGCTGAACCAGGTTTATGCGCACTGAGCTTCTCTTCTGTTACAGGTTTAAACCAGTTTATGTGCAACTTCTGTCGCCAGTCCAGGGCAACATAAAACACCAGCAGACTCCACCTATGCCTGAAAGCTTGCAAAGAAAAGGTTCTCCAATTATTTAGCTGGTCTAATAAAAGATATCACATTTACCCAAAGAACCTTGTCTGCCTATGCCTTTTCTGATGCATTAGTATAACATGTTGGCTGCTATGCTTGAAAGACAAGAAACAAGACAAAAATGCTTTCTCCACTAAGAATAATGCAGGTCCTTATTGGCAGCTTAGTCATTAGGCTACTGTCCTTTGCCATTCAACAAGTCTCTAGTTACTTTTCCTTAATTATTTGCCAAAAGAGTAAAGAAATCGACAATGTGCTCTTTTAAAGAACGAGAAAGTAAAAAAGGAATATTCCCTAACTCCTGTTCTTACCTCCAACATTGTGGAACTAGCAATAAAATGCTCACGTACCAAATGCTTGAAAAGACTGTTTGTTAAAATTCAGCTGTGATAACCAGTAATTAGGGGAATAAGGAAAAAAAACTGGTATTTTATTTTGTCTGCTAGAGTTCAGTATTGTGTTCTATAAAGTGCTACCTGCAAGTAAGAATTCAATATTATACAACATCTTCAGCTCCATGACTGTCAGGGGTTTTAACTGGTAAGAAACTAGGATTTTTAGAAAGCTTGATGGGGAGAGATGCAGCACTTTTGTTTGGTAAGCTGGGTATTTCAGCACCACTGACCATATGAGTGTTGATGGACCAGTATAAGCAGGTGGAATTCTGCAGGCCTACATCTCTTCCTAGCTCGCCGTCAGTGGTATGTTCGTTGCACACCTGTATTTTCTTTTAGTAAGCTAAAGCATGTACACCTATAGCTTCCAGAAACTGGCAGGAGTTGATTTAGCCCCAGCTGTCTTTTAGTACAAGTCAGTGGCATTGTCTCAAGTCATAGCAGGTTTAAGTGGGGCCCATAGATTATCATTATTTTAATGTGTTTTGTGTGTCAATATACACAATGAAGGGGGATCCTATTTATCCTGTAGGCTGCGTCTAACAACCCTCTGTGCAAACAGCATCAGGTTTAGTAAAATTATGATTTTTCTATTTATATAGCACCTTTCAATCCCAGAGGAACATTAAACACTTTGCAAACTAGAGGCCTGAACC